ACAAGACCGAGACTTTTAAAGGCCGAGACTGAGACAAGACCAAGACACTTTTAAAGACCGAGACAAGGCAAAGATTTTTGAAACCTGAAACCGAGACAAGATCAAGATTTTTAAAACCAGAGACTGAGACAAGACCAAGACTTTTAAAGGCTGAGACTGAAACAAGACCAAGACTGAAAACCTGAGACTGAGACAAGACCAAGACTTTTAAAGGCCGAGACTGAAACAAGACCAAGACTTTTAAAGGCCGAGACTGAAACAAGACCAAGACTGAAAACCTGAGACTGAGACAAGACCAAGACTTTTAAAGACCGAGACAAGACAAGACAGAGACCATGACCCATCGAGGCCAAATCGAGACCATCTTTGTAATTTTCTAAATGTAATTTATTTGTATTTTACAGTTATTTTGGCACATGTATATCAATATTTTTCATAAATCTATCTCCATTTTATCACTCATCAAGTGTCAGACCTTGAGATCGAGACAAGACTGAGTGCAAGCGCTTTTAAGACTGAGTGCAAGCGCTTTTAAGACCGAGACGAGACCGAGCGAGACGCGAGCGCCTTTAAGACCGAGACGAGACCGAGTGCGAGCGCCTTTAAGACCGAGACGAGACCGAGTGAGTAAGCGAGACGAGCGAGCGCCTTTAAGACGAGACCGAGTGCAAGCGCCTTTAAGACCGAGTGCAAGCGCCTTTAAGACCGAGTGCAAGCGCCTTTAAGACCGAGTGCAAGCGCCTTTAAGACCGAGACGAGACCGAGTGCAAGCGCCTTTAAGACCGAGACGAGACCGAGTGCAAGCGCCTTTAAGACCGAGACCGAGACCGAGCGCCTTTGCACGCGCCTTTAGACCGAGACCGAGACGAGACCGAGTGAGCGCCTTTCGAGACCGAGTGCAAGCGCCTTTAAGACGAGACCGAGTGCAAGCGCCTTTAAGACCGAGACGAGACCGAGTGCAAGCGCCTTTAAGACCGAGACGAGACCGAGTGCACGCGCCTTTAAGACCGAGACGAGACCGAGTGCAAGCGCCTTTAAGACCGAGTGCGAGCGCCTTTAAGACCGAGACGAGACCGAGTGCAAGCGCCTTTAAGACCGAGTGCAAGCGCCTTTAAGACCGAGACGAGACCGAGTGCAAGCGCCTTTAAGACCGAGTGCACGCGCCTTTAAGACCGAGTGCAAGCGCCTTTAAGACCGAGACGAGACCGAGTGCACGCGCCTTTAAGACCGAGTGCAAGCGCCTTTAAGACCAAAACAAGACTGAGTCCAAACACGGTTGAATCTGAGACAAGACCAAGACCTCAAAAAAAGGGTCTCGAGGCCGGTCAAGTACTCTGACTCTGGAGACGGGGGATCGAGAGAGCGGAGACAGACAGTGTTGTTGGGATAACTGGTGTGTGTTGGCGTTAAATGTTGTATGGAGAATTTATTTTTGTTTCATGATGAAAATCAATCAACTCTGGACATGTTGGGGCCAGACACACATTAGCTAAAAGATAACGAGGCGACCTTAGGGTGACCAGACGTCCCTATTTCCCGGGACAGTGCCAATTTTGAGTCCCCTGTCCCAGCAGATTTATCCAAAACCAGTAAATTGTCCCAGTTTTATACAAGAAATGTCCCTGGTGTCTTTGTTCTGATCTGATCCCTGCCAACAGGAAAGAGAAGCATAAATTGTCAATTGTTTTAGCTGCTTAAAAAGAAAATGTGACTATACTGGTTCACATTTGTGCGGAATGAGGAACAATTTTCCTTAATTACACACTCGTTTCACAATTGTATTATTACCAAACCAAACCGCAGATGTCCCAGTTTTTTATTTTGAAAACCTGGTCACCCTATACTACCTCGTTATCTACTGGTTCAAATCTCCCAAATGCCAAGAAACAAAGAAAAAAAAAACTCTAGAGAAGTCGGTGCATCCAAACATCTCTCTATTATTTTTATTTTCCTGGCTGTTTCTTATAGCCTGATTCATCAGCCGGTTTCACTTCATGGAAACCGTCTGACCTCACAACATTAGGATTCGTTCGCTCGACGGTAGGTGGGTACTTTTTTAAATTTAACCAATCGCTGCTATTTGGTTGTGACGTATGTAATGCGCCGCTAACGGGACTAACTGGCATATTAAGTTTTTCCCTAGTGGTGGGCGAACGGAGCCTCGTGAAGCATTGACACCTCAGTCGCGATATTGTCTCAAATGGTTTCGACGTGTCTGAGGCCTCGGAGAAACACTGACCTCTAGTGGACAAATTTAACAATAAGACAATAAAAAATTGTGTGCAGAGCGACACCGTACCTAACAACAACAACAATAATGACGATTTAAAATAATATGTAAAGAGCAACATAAACAGCAGCTGTAAATAAGAAAATAGGTGTTACCTTGTTAGGTGAAATTAGATCAACGTGATCCCAAACCATGGATCGCTTTTTTCCACTTGTAGACGCCATCGAAAATGAAACAAATGCCAAAAGTCGCCAAAATCACCACTAACGTCACACAATACTCCTCACTACCCAACATTTTTAAGAAATATTGGTGCATCTTTTATACTGTAGCAGTTTAATGCTCGTCAAACCACGGAAGTGCGCTGAACACTCTGAACACTCTGAACCAATCGCAGAGCGGAACATTCACTGAGCCAATGAAATGCTTCGATACACTGAAGCGATCGACACGCAGAGCGAAGCAGTCGGGGGAGGGACCCACACTTCCGACACTTTGGTCACGTGAGCGGCCGCTGCGAGTCGAGCTCCGAGGCGGCGCTCCGGAGCAATTTGTTTCAGAAAGAACGAGACGTGCTCCGGAGCTCCGACTCATTTGCCCGTCACTACTTTTCCCAAATCCCATAAGAAGAAGGACAATAACGTGTTTCCCCTTGACGAAATTCACCAAACATTCTCTTTGTTCCGGCTTTAAATCCTCGATCTCGAGAATGGCTGATAGCACAGAATGTCTGTCTCTTCGCTGACTGGCTGGTGCCCGAACTCACACTTCCGGAGTTTTTGCGAACAGTTTAGCGTATTCCGATTCCTGACCTAATCGCTGGAGAGAAATTAAATTGAGCGGAGGCACTATGTTTCTTATCCTCGCGTAGCTGAAAGCCTCTCCTAGTCTGCTTCTATATTTAATGTTTGTCTTGTTTTTTTTCATTTTTATTGGGAGATTCGAACCAACACACATCAAGCAGGAATGTTACAAGACCTCGTGTGACAAGATCTCGCAAAATCAAATTGGACAACAGGAAGCAGCGCTACAATAAACAGCATAAACTATTCAATAAAATATTTACGAGAATTGTAAGTTGTGAACTGAACCGCACAATGTATTAAAGCACCACGGTTCTTAAAAAGGCTTTACCACAACTTTTCCGGCATTATAAATGAGCACTTTATCTACAGATGACTTGAGATTTTTCTGCACACAGAGAAATTTCTTTGGCTCTGCTGCAGCTCTGAGTCTCTCCTCAAAGTTCATAGTTTTGACGGTCACAGAGCAGAGTCTTGTGGGAATTATTTCTCATCTCACCCCTGACCTCAGTCCTGCGTTTACGTGCATTTTGAAGAATCGGTTTAAACTGGACTTGGCCCGTTGTCCGATTTTCCTAAAGTGTGTCTAAAACTGCAGTCGACTAAACAAATTCTAAAGACCTGTCCTGATGATCACCCAAAAAGAGGCGTGGAAAAGCTCAAAAATGATGACGTTGGTCTGTGAATCTGACCCAAACTGCACTCGTTCACAGCGGCGTGGGAGTTCATGCAAACACAACTATTTATGCAGAAAAAAGCACCAGGAAAGAGTGATTATAAACAAATCTTCAGCTCACTCTTTTCTCCTTCCTGCTGTCCCCGTCTAGTCCCGGTCTAGTCCCGGTCTAGTCCCGGTCTAGTCCCGGTCTAGTCCCGGTCTAGCCCCGGTCTAGTCCGGTCTAGTCCCGGTTCAGTTCAAGTCCTGGTCTAGTCCTGGTCTAACCCTGATCTAGTCAAGTCTAGTCTAGTCCCGGTCTAGTCCCGGTCTAGTCCCGGTCTAGTCCCGGTCTAGTCCCGGTCTAGTCCCGGTCTAGTCCTGGTTCAGTTCAAGTTTAATCGTGGTCTAGTCCTGGTCTAACCCTGATCTAATCCTGATTTAGTCCTAGTTCTGTCCAAGTTTAGTCCTGGTCTAGTCCTCGCTGAGTCATGGTTGAGTCCTGGTTGAGTCCAAGTTGGTCCAAGTTGAGTCCAAGTTGAGTCCAAGTTGAGTCCAAGTTGAGTCCTATTCTAAACCTGGTTCAGACCAAGTTTAGTCCTGGTCTAGTCCTGGTCTAGTCCTGGTCTAGTCCTGGTCTAGTCCTGGTTCAGTCCTGGTTCAGTCCAAATTTAGTCCTGGTCGAGTCCTGGTTTAGTTTTGGTTCAGTTCTGGTTTAGTCTTGGGTAAATCTTGGCCTAGTCCTGGCCTAGTCCTGGCCTAGTCCTGACCTAGTCCTGATCTAGTCCTGGATCTAGTCCTGGTCTAGTCCTAGTTTAGTCCTGGTTCAGTTCTGGTTTAGTCCTGGTTAAATCCTGGTTAAATTCTGGTCTAGTCCTGGTCTAAACCTGGTTGAGTCCTGGTTTAGTCTTAGTTTAAGCCTGGTCCAGTCCTGGTCTAGTCCGGGTCTAATCCTGGCTCAGTCCATGTTTAGTCTTGGTTTAGTCCTGGTCTAGTCCAAGTTTAGCCCTTGAGTTGAGTCCTGCTCTAGTCCTGGTCTAGTCCTGGTCTAGTCCTGGTCTAGTCCTGGTCTAGTCCTGGTCTAGTCCTGGTCTAGTCCTCTCACTAGACCACACCAGTACGGGGAGTTCCTGTAAAAACACTTTACGCAGACAAAGTAGGAAAAAATGTATTTATATAAAAACAGATTAAACTTGTGACTCATGATCTTAATCGTCCTTTTTACTAAACAAATCTCCAGCGAACTCACTTATTCCCGTTGTCCTGTATAAATCTTCGTAATCTAATCGGAGCGTAGAGTTTCGGGACTTACTGGGGCTGGAGAGCAGGGAGGTGAGCGACTGGGACCAGCGATCCAGCTCCTCTCTGCTGATCTTTCCCTTCCTGTTGTGTCCCACCTGACTCCACTGACGCATGAAGAGCAGCCGGGACCTTCTCTCCGCCACGCTGAGGAAACACGAGGAACAAACGGGTTATTAAACAGCTTCTCATCATCACAAGTACAAGTACAATTCTTATGTACAGTTCTTAGGTGTCTGTATTTATGTAAAGTCCCTCAGTCGCGCAGGTAGAATCCATGGTAAAGCAGAAACTCAAAGTGTCAACTGGACAAACATTTATTTTGGTTGTATACGTTTCGCAGGTCGTCGAAGCTGCTTCTTCAGTTCTGGTCACTTTAAGACAGAAACTGGTCCACCCGAAGGACAAAACACCAAGTGACAAAGCAATGTGGTCTACTCCACTCAGCGTAGTGAAGACTGCAGTGAACGCTACACTGAAGAAACAAAACAGCCACTTCACAAGAGGATGAACCAACACAGACGAGAGAGCAACACAGGACCTCAGTCTGCTGTGCATCTCCACTTAAAAGCCTCGGGCCACTTTGAGGACAGTGAGATAGAGAGCTGAGCCACAGAAAAAAAGAAGGAGATTTAAAGAAGCTATTTTTATTAAGAGAATCCTTCTTTAATCAAAAACTGAGGCCTCAGACAATATCTGTCTCCTATTTACAAGTCCATCCTCAAACCTAAATCTAAACAAAGAAAACAACAGGGCAGCCAGGTCAAGGCCAGAGGTTTGAAAACACTCATTATGGCCCTGAGTGATTCTGCTAATAAGACCCCACACTCAGTGCAGTTCAATAGGCCGCGCTAACAACAGAAACTGTAAACAAGTAGGTGTGTTAGTTTCAGAGTAGTTTCAGTGTAGTTAGCTCCTCCCTTCAGGCAGAAATAAGGAAGTGTTCACCAGCGTCTGACCAGGACGGAAGAAGCAGCTTGGATGAGCTGAGACAAAATGTTACATGACAACGGTCTGAACAGAAGATGCAAAAGTGGCGTCGCTTCTTTCACTATTATTCTGCGTTTAGACCAGGGGTGTCAAACTCATTTTGGTCCGGGGGCCGTTTCCAACCTACTTTGATCCCAAAGGGGCCGGATCAGAAAACTCATGACATATAAACCCCCAAAATAACAATAAGTTCAAATATTTGTGCAGAGAAACACAAATCTATTACAGAAATCTTTTTTAATTGATGAACTCTTTCTTATTATAATATTATAATATTATGAACAATCTGAAACTTTAAGAAAAATTCAATTTCAACAAAATGTTTTAACATGAACTTGTATGTAAATAGGAATAAGTCAATTTTTCTTGTAAAATCCTGCACTCGGCTCCACTTTTCTCATTTTGGAAATTTTTCTGATGAGGGTGTCACGGTCAACAGTCAAAACGATCGTCCTTTAAGAGCGTTTGGAAAGAGACAAGTCTTCATTTGTGCTGCTCTGGTGGGAGGGGCCACGTACAGAGACACTGGAGACGCTGCTGTGATAAACACCACAGAAAATTAACAATATTTTAATAGAAAATATAATTTAAATATTTTAGTAGAAAATCACCCAAGGGCCACATTAAAGGTCTTGGGGGGCCGGATCTGGCCCCTGGGCCTTATGTTTGACACCTGTGGTTTAGACGAACATTTTCAGGAGGAAATCTGCGTGCAATGAGTGACGCAAAAATGTGTGGAATTCGATTGTATTGCTGTGATACACGACCACACAACACTGTTACATCCACGCACATGCATAGAATCTTCCTTCTTCTCATCTGTGTGTGTCTGTGCGTATCTAGTGTCTCTGCAGATTCTGAGCCTCCTGTAAGTTTATTAGAGCAGCCAGAGCAGCTTGAAGGTCGGACGCATGGAAATTATGCTTGTTTCTGTGTACTGTATGTATGTGATGTAAACGTGTACGTAATCTGAGCAGATCTGACCAGAGTTTTTTAGACTGAAACACTAGCAGATGTTAGTCAGACAGAAACACTATGGTGGAGCACATTCAACTTTTCCACTCTGGAGGGTGCTTTTCAGATTTTTGCGTTTTTAAACCCCAAAAACGCCGTCACCGTCTAAACAAAAGGTACTTCCGCTAAAATATTTTCTCGTTTTTCCCCTTTAGTGTTCTCGTGGTTCTCCTTTGTTGTCTGTGCTTTTTGAAGTACATTTTACAGTGGATACTTTTTACTTTTACTTCACTACATTTGAAAGCAGGTATCTGTACTTTCTACTCCACACAGAAAAGTAAAAAGTACTTTTCTTTCTGGTTTGAGACCTGCTGAAATGCCTGAGATTTATATTTTAGCACATTTAATTTGAGTTAATGGTCCAACTTTGAGCAAACCATATACACAAAAACAGACAGAAATTAAGAAATCAATTGAATCACTTATAATCAGCAATAGCAATAACATCTCCACGGAGAAAAGCATTTGACGGACCCTCAACCAGACATTTTTTTAAGTGGTTCTAGTCCTGTCCCGTCTGAAATAGTTTCTATTTAATCTCACTACAGTTTTAACGGAGCTCCACAGTGACAGCCCACTTCCAGACTGAATAAACAAATACTCCACTCATTTTCCCCGCTGACTAATAAATGCAAATAAATGACAGTCTCCATCGTGCCTTTAAACTCCTAATACTGTTTTTTTTTTCAGTGACTATGGGAAAGATTTATGGGAAATTCTCTTAAAAGGTCATATATTACACAAAACTGACTCATGAGCTTTAAAGGTTGTATAGAGGATTTTCCAAGGAACGAGAAATCCAGCGACTGTTTGTCCTTTTTCAAATGTTGCGCATGCGTGAAACCACCCCCTCCCCTACAGCTCCTACGTAGAAACGCCTCCTCCCGCCTCCTCCTTACGCCAGAAACAGGTTTGTTTACAGCCAGTGCTGCACATGACTTGTAAACAACTAACTACAGTGTTGGTTAGGCAAGACGGAGAAGTGAGGAGCGGGGGGAGGGGTGTGCGGACATTTCGTTCGCGGACGAGAAGTGAGGAGCAGGGAGCAGGGAGAGGGAGAGAGGAGAGGGGAGCGGTGCGCGGAGATTCCGTGCCCGGAGAAGTGAGGAGCAGGGGGAAGAGCGGATCGGGCAGCGGGGAGAGGAGCAGGAAAGGGGTGCAGAGAAGGTTGCGCGGAGATTCAGTGCGAATGAACTAGCTACAACACGCAGCAGCAAGCGGACTCTTTCTTTGCCTTGAAAATTACGTTTTCAGACACAGGATATCGCTTTCGTGTCCTGAAAAACGTTTGTCTCGCTCTTGGAAATAAAGTACGTTTTCATAATAAGCAGAAGTTTCCTGTCCAGGAGTAATTTGTGGACCAGTGCGTCAGTCTTTAGACCCTGCGTCTGCTTCAGTCGCGCCATCGCTGGAATGAATCTTCAAGAATCACCTTAGTTTGGCTTCGCTGCTTTTCCCCTTGTCTTCTTCTTTCAGCGACCTCAAAAACTGACTTTCTTTTGCGGCGAACTGCTCCTGGATTCTTGTCGCCATTGCAACAAACTTTGTGCGAACTGCGAGGAAGATATAGGTAAAAAAAAGCCGCTAAGAACTGTTGCGTTGGTGGAGTAAACAGCGTCTGTGCGTCTGTGGACTGCGTGACAGACGTACGTAAACCACGTACGGCAGCGCAGGCAAGTCAGTTACACTAGAAACGTAGGGAGTTTGATTGACAGCCTGTCAGCTCACAGATAACGAGGCAGTGTCGTTATCTATTGGCAAATGTTTAGCCCCACCACGTCCGAGTTGATGAATTTTTATTACACTCTTTTTTTTGGTCATCATAATTACAAGGCGACTGCATCTCTATAATCTATCACTGACAATTTGAAACAAAAAAAAAATCCTCCATGCAACCTTTAAGTCATGTTATAATGTTGTTACTAGGAATGGACAATCGATTTAAGAAAATTAACATTAACGGGACATTTTAATTGATTAATTAATTAATTAGGAGCCAGAGCCCAAACGTGGGACTGTGAGTCACAACTCCAGTGTTTGTGTCAGACGCAGCCTCGTCTCCTCACGCGACACACAGCAACACACATTCAGTTTGTCGATTAAAAATGAACGTGAGCGACGAAATTCTTAATCATCAGTTATTGATTAGTCGACTAAAAAGCCCATCCCTAAAGCGTAATATTCTTTTTTTACAATGGCTATGGGAAAAATTGATATGAAATTCTCTTATATATTGCACAAAATTAACTCTTGTGAATTTTAAGTCATGTTATAATGTTGTTGCCTCGTCAAAAACAGACCTGGAGTTGTTAGATGAAGCAAGAGAGGTAGAGCGCTTCACTGGGTCTTAAAAGAGTAAAAAATAAGAGTACAGGTCTACGAGGGTTAAAACAGTGGTCTTAGGACAGAAAATGTAAAAATTGGTAAGGTACAAACCTGAGGCACTCCGACTGAATATATGAAAAGTCCTTTATTACATGAAGGGACGCCAACGCTTTTCGACCAGCAAGACGGTCAATAAATACAATCAATTGATTGTATTTCAACCCAAATACAATCAGTTGATTGTATTTATTGACACACATTTATTGTCTTGTTTTTACTACTTTGCCCTGATGAAGAATTTTGCAGTCGGAGTGCCTTGGATTTGTACTTTACACATTTTTTCATTTTCCTGTAAGGGTAAATTTCTTTTCTAAGACCTGGAGTTGTGTTTTGTTTCATTAATGTTTGAGTTGAGTAATCCTGCATTATTAGTCCGTCTACATCTCCAAAGTTCAAAATGTTCCACCTTGTCACGTCATGAAGCAGTCGTTTTCATGTTAACAGCTGCTTAACCTTTCGTTCAGCAGAGATTGGCAATTTCAGAGCTGAAATTATCCAGATGATTCTAAAGAAAATGACTCAGAGTTTGAGAGAAGTACTCAGCGTTAACCTGAGGGTTTGTGTGTTAAACAAAACAACTCCAGGTCTGTTTGTGAAGAGGAAACATTATAACCTACTTCACAAATGAGTGTAATTAACGCTGAGTTCTTTGGAAACGCGCTGGAGCCTGTGTTTGTTATTCTGGACGGAGGAGCAGGCGGAGAGTCGATCTGTGGTGCCAAACGTGGACTGAGAGGAGATAAACAGCACACTGACCTTTCCTTGTGCTCGGGGTTGAAGAGGTTTGAGTGTGAGGAGTGAGGACTCTGAAAGAGAAACAGAGGAGTTAGCCCGGGGCGCTCACACACACACACACACACAGATACACAAAGAGACACAGACACACACGTACAGTACTTTTTTGTTGAGTTGCATTTAAACTATACTGTAAAATTGAAAACAGCTCCATATTGTTTCACCATTTTATATTTTTTTCACTAATTCTGTGCAGTTTGAAGCCCAATTTGAGTAATCAAGCACCACCAAGTATTTCTTTGATTTTAAAAAGTAATTACTCTGAATATTCTCATGAAAAGCGTATTTGTATGTGGAGTACTGACCAAGAACAAGAATCATAAACTTAACTTTCTATTTAGTTCCTAGTGAACGTTGTCCTCTCTTAGGTTTGGTGTAACAAACCGGAAATATTGTGCAAGAGTTTCAGTAAGTTTGTAATTCGTGGATTGTTCAATGTCAGCGATAATGCAACACACAAATGTCACACTAATGTGGATTTTAATCACAAGCTCTTTACAGTAGTGCACCTTTGGTATTGTCTTTTACATCAGATCTATGCAGTTTGAGGCTCTAAACGAAAAAGTTGTTGTTTTCTATGACAATAAAACCTTGAATCTGGGCCTAAATTACATTATGTTTTGCATTTGAACTATGTCACAATTAAGATACCATATAATGAGAAGACACTTTTGAGTGAGTATGACATTGTGTGGACACTGTGAGGGTTAAAGTATGAATAATGAATAAGACATTCTCCTGCTGTCCAGTGCAAGATTAACTAGTGGTGGTTCCAAGTTCTGCAGCTCCCGGGAGCTTCGGCCCAGAAAGAAGTTTCCCAGAGAGTGCAATTTTATTTATGTGTATTCAAACCTTTCACAAAGGTTGGGTTTTGTCTGGATTCTTCTGTATTTTTACAAATTTTAAATTGTCAAAGCGCCTAAAACTTAGCAATGTAAGATTTAGTCAAGCACCACTCTGAGCCCGCACCATGGATCTGTAATAAAAACTGGATAAGCTCTTCCCCTCGTCCCATTTTGATACAGACTAGTGGCCGTTCCAGGTATTGCAGCTCCGGGAGCATGTCTATGTTTCCTCATTTCTCTTCCTCTCTCTTTTTTTTTTTTCTTTCTTTCTAACATTAGGCCCTATGTTCTCACATTTCCTTTATCATCAATTTGCATCAGATTTTATCCCAATTTGGTTGTCAATAACATCCCACCTATTCTCCAGCAGCAGTTGACTACAGATGTAATGTAGAGGTCATGGTGCAGAGGATCCTAACTTGAAATGACTCTGAATCATCCCTTTTGAATGTGAAAATGACTTGACTTAAAGTTTCATTTTGAGAAAAATCTTGAATGAAATGAGGGAACATTAGAGCTGTTCCCAGGAGCTTGGGCCCAGGAAGAATTCTCCCATAGAGCGCAAAGCATTTTTTGTGAATTCAATCTGCTCATGTTCAGCTGGCAGGGCATCCACAGCTTTCACAGAGGTCGGATTTCATAGGGATTCTTTTCTATTTTCACAACATAAATATTTAAAAATGTTTAAATCCTCAAAGCACCTAAAACTTATCTTTGTAAGACTTATCCTTGACCCGCTCTGAGCCTGGGCTCGCTCTGCTCTAGCAGCTCTCGCTCTGATTGGTCCAAAAGCTCCACACCGTGCACATTACAGACATCACACAATTTCACAAAACTGACTCTTTTGAGCTTTAAGCCATGTTATAATACTGTCACCTCCTCAAAAACAGACCTGGAGTTGTGTTTTGTTTCATTCACACACGTTTGTTTATAGCGTATTTTCCGCACTATTAGGTTCTCTGGATTATAAGGCGCACTGTCATTAAATGGTCTATTTTTGAACTTTTTTCACAAATAAACTGCACCGGACTTTAAAGGAAACACAACAGTGTGATGGGTGAGTGGTTTTGTTTGTTTGTGGCGTTCACGGTGACTCTGGGCTTTGTTCAGTTGTGGCGTGTAGGGAGGTGCTGTCTGGGACCAACGGATTGTCGGCGTGTTCGCAGTGACTCAGTTGTTCAGTCGTGTCTAGAAGCGGCACATTGCACTCGCTTTTTCAGGTTCGTTCCTCCGTTCCGTTCCTCGTCGGCGTGGAGTGATGAGTGTGTCTGTGGGTGTTTTTCGCCGCGCGGTCGCTGTCTGCTCCGTGTGTGTTTGTAGTTTACTGAAGTCGTGCTGGGAAACCTGAGTGGACTCGTGTATAGGACGCTCTGGATTGTGGGGCGCACAGTCGTTTTTTGACGAGGTTGGAGGCTTAAGAGCGCGCCCTATAGTCCGGAAAATACGGTACCTTTATTATTAGTCCATGCGCATCTCCAAAGCTCAAAATGCTCTGTTCCACCTTGTGACGTCGTGAAGAGTTTTTAGTTTTCAACTTAACAGCTACGTTTTACCTTCAGCTCAGTAAAGATTGGCGATTCCAGAGCTGAAATTACCCAAATGATTGTAGAGAAGCTGTACGAAGTTTAAAAACACAGCGGCGCATGACAACAAAAGGTGGAACAGTGGAGCATTTTACTTTTTGAGAGAAGAAATCAGCCTAAATCTGCAGGGTTTGTGCGTTAAACATGTGTGAATGAAACAAAACACAACTCCAGGTCTATAACATAACATTTCTCCACAATACGACACCATCTTGGGTTCAGATTTTATTATAATTCTGTGGTCCGTGCTCAGTTTGATTGATATTGATCGTCTATTGAGTTTCTTCCTTAGAATCGAAAGTGTTTGACATTTTAGTTTGGTGACATTACTGCGGAGAACATTTCATAACGTAAAAATATCACGGCCCTCAACAGCACCAGCATTACTCTTATATTCACCTTTATTGATTATTTTTTTCTAATCTCCCGGGCCGATGAACAGAAGACCTCCCGCCACTCGCTGCACGTGCACAATAGAGCGTCGTGTGTGACAACGGGAGGCGGCCATGTCCTCGCATCCTAATGTGCGCTCGCTCTCAAGGCCGCTGGTAATAGCAGTGCCCATGATGCACTTGTGATTGGATTGGAGCATGAGTGTGAATACAACGACCCCACAGAGACTCATTTAACAACAGAGCGGCTATTCGCAACAAGGTGTCACGTATTGTAAAGGATGTAATTGGGTTTCTCCGCTCAAGGGTCTCTGGTCCTTGTTGGATTACAGCGACAAAATCGGGATTGTTTTAAAAGGCTCATTTTACGACATTTTCACATCGTTGTTATAATGTTTCCTCATCGCAAACAGACCTGGAGTTGTGTTTTGTTTCATTCGCACATGTTTAAAACACAGAAATCCTGCAAATTTAGTCTGAGTTCCTCTCTCAAACTGAAAACACTGTTCCACCTTGTGATGTCATGTGGTAAAACAGAAGGTGCTCCACTGTGTTTTTAACTCCATGCTCCTTCACTAGAATTATTTGGATGATTTCAGCCCTGGAATTGCCGATCTCTGTTGAAATAAAAGCAAAAGGAGCTTCTAACTTGAAAACTATCACTTCGTGACATCACAAGGTGGAACAGAGCATTTTGAGCTTTGCAGGATGCATTATTAGTCAATTAGTAGACTGATTATTAAAGAAATGTTTTGTTTTGATTTGAAAAGTTTTGATTAGTCTTCTCCCTGTTGCTTTTGTTCATGCAGCAAAGACGTGGTTGGAATATGGATTTATGTTGATTGTCATTTATTGCTGTTGTTTAAATTGAGGCCAACAAAATAATAGCATGAGAAATAAATAAATAAATAAATTAGTGCTGTCAATCAATTAAAATATTTAATTGCGGTTAATTTAATGAATGTCATAGTTAGCTCGCAATTAATCGCAAATGAATCACAAATTTTAGTTTAATGCTCTTATCAACATAGAAAAGTGGAAAAGCTTTGTGGAAATTTAATGTATTTATTTTTCTAATTGCAACTCTGTTTGTGACCGTGTGTGTCCCAACGCTGCTGTAGTTAGGACGATGACAGCATCACGTGCCGTTGTTTGTTTACATGAGGCAGCAGAGTTAACGCTTTAGCGGAGAAAATAAGTCCAGCGGCAGAAATATCTATTAAATAGTGAGACCAATATGATTCCCGCTGTGATATGTGAGTCCTCTGTGAATTTATGGATATAACAACAGCTCGGAGCAGTGAAAACAGCCGGAAGAGAGTCTGTAAAACTTTTGTCTCTGTCATAGTCCTTATTGAAGGTCAGGAGCGGAGTTTATTTCTTGTTTTCCTCGTATAAATAACATCAACGCACCTGACAGAACTTCTCAGTTTCGTACAAATTGTTTTGCTTCCTGTTTACAGCCAGATCCTGTAGTTTTTCAAATGTTACAGCAGTGGCCACAGCTTATGAAAAAACTAGTTTGCGATAAAGAAATTAACACCGTTAAAATAGTTTTGTGTTAACTTGTTAATAACGCTATATTTTTGACAGCACTAAAATAAATAAAACAACTCAAACATGTGTGATTGAAACAAAACACAACTGCAGGTCTGTTTTCGATGAGGAAATTTCACAAGAAGAGTCAATTTTGCGTAATGTAGGATCTTTAAAATTCTATAAATTATTTCATAAATCATGACATACCCAAACAAAGATTAAAAAAAAAAAAAAATCCAAAATCAAAACTCGTTTACCTGTCCTCCGAAGAGACTCTTGAGGTGGAGTTTGGCGGCGAGCAGCTTGGCCCTCTTCTGGGACTTGGAGGGGTTGGCGCAGGTCGGGTCAGTGGGCGACGCCGGCGCTTCCTCTTTCTCTATGCTCTCCGTGCTGCTCCCGTTTGCCACCGGTGCCAACTGTCCGTCGCTGTACGCCCGGCACCCCTCGTTAATCACGCACACGCTCAACCGGTTTTTACTGTCCTTTTTAATATCGTCCAAGTTTTCCGTGCTTATGCTCCGTTCTCTGGTCAGCTGCCTCTTTCCGCTCGGTTCCCGGATGAGAGGCGGGAAGCAGCCAGTCCTCGCGCAGTCGGGCTCATCGGAATATTCGTGCAAAGTGTACGTCCCAGAGTTTCGGTCTCGAGGCTCGTCCGTGTTCTTTAGCGCAACTTTTTTCCAAGGAAGGAAATCCAAATCCAGGAGAGAGCCTTCGGAGCTGAACCGCCGCATGATGACAAGGTGGGGAGGGGGCTGTGAAACAAAGAGAAACAAAAGTTAAAGAAGCACGGTGTAACTTTTTTGGAGAAGAGTACGCCACCTGCTTGGTCCCAGAGTGTTTAATTTAATTTCCTGGAACGTTCCACAGTTAAAGAGCCTATATTACGCTTTTTCCTGATATGTTATAATAATGTTTACTCTTCACAAACATTCCTGGAGTTGTGTTTTGTTTCCTTCACACATGTTTAACAAACAAATCCTGCATATTTAGACTGGATAAATTCTCTCAAACGGTAAACACTTTCACTTGAACCATTTAGATCAGAGGTGGGCAATTATGTTTTCCATTGGACCACATGAGAAACAGAAAATATTGTGAAGTGCCAAAACGCTTAACTTGCTAAACTGCTTAATATTAATTGTATTTCTTTAAAAAAAAACAAAAAAAAAGCAGTAAATATCATTGTTTTGAGAAAGATTGGTAAGAGTTTATGTTATGCCTAAGCAATTAATTAATGTATTTATTTTGTAAGTATAACATAAGAATTTGAAAAAAAACACACGAGTTAAAAAAAAAAGTAGGTGCTGGAAGAGGCAAAACCCCCCAAAAGGGCTTATATATTAAAGCCTCCACCTTATCAATACATAAAAAATTTAACATTATCGCTGTGCAATGAAAAAGTGATGCTGCCTTACAAAAAATGTCGTTTAAAAAAACACCTCTAAAGTAAAAGCAAAGCAGCTTTAGTGCAAGAGGTAAAATTATAAAATATGGTGATTTTGTAATTACAAATGAGCTTAAACGGGCAGGTCAGAGTCAACCAAAGGGCCGTCCGTATGGGTCCCTGGAGCTGGACAATGCCCAGGTCTGATTTAAATGTGTGATGGAATTTTAATATTGTGGAAAGATTTCTCTCAATCCGTCTTTGTGATTTCTACCTGAGACCCGGACCAGTCATTGGCATGTGTAAAGGCTCAGCCGCTACAGCCCTTCCCACCCACATGGCAATATTTTTTTGGTCAAAACGGAGACATTTGTGTTCGTTTTGGCCTTTCGTCAACACAGAGATGGCTTTGTCTTAGTTGTCCTCAAATGTGTGATAAGTTGATTACCAAAACCCTGAGAAACAAAAGCCGCTCTGCTCTGATATGTATGTAGCTTGTATTTTCTGTATGAATACTCAGAGCTCAGATGTGGTGGTCTGAGTGGGACAGAGACTCTAGTAGAGACTCAGAGCTGGGGGGTCTAATGTGGGAGGGACATGCTGCTGGAGGACAGGTTGTTGGTCTCTGGTCTAGGCCCTGTCCATATCTGCTGTTGCAAGAATAAACCTTTGTCTGTATTCTAAAAGCTCACCAGGTTTCGCAAACTGATTCATTATTTATCATCAAGAGATATATAATTTTTTCCACAACAGATGAAAACAGCCAATTTCTGCAGAACAAAAGGTAAAAGGAGCTGTTTATACATGCATCCCAAATCTCGCACAATTCATACTGGAAGGATCCTCCAAAAAAGTGAGCATCAAAGCGCCATGTTTGTTTTCCCAGTGGGATGCGACTATTATCTGATCTTTTCAAGTCTTTTGAAGCATATCACTTTTGTTTATGGTTCTGATATTGTCATATTTTAGATATGGGATTCGGACATTGTAATTGTGTGGTTGTTGGATCCTAACAGCGGAAAACAGCTCGAGAAATGGGTTTCAGAAGTTTGCGAACTCCATAAATGCAAAAGTGAATCAGATGTGTGTGACTGCAAACCTCCGTTCAAACTGTTTCCCTTTCGAACGGAATTGAAAAATAGTGAAAGGTGAAGGTGATGGGCAGGATTGATCCACTGGAAGGATGAAAAACAAAACCTTTGGCTGCCTAAATCATCCAGAGTTTGCAACAAACATTTTGTATGTGAAGCACCAACAAAGTAAAATCCCGTTTGTTAAGTGAGAGGTGCAGAAGACAAACAGACTGAACTGCAACTTTCTTGTTCTTGTGGTTTTACAGCAACATCACGTCTTGGTCTCTTTGCAGTGGAAGGTGTTTCTTGGTGAACAGCTGGTGCCTTTCACTTTGGAGTTGACTTTTTAAATTCGTGACAAAGGTTGAGTGAGGGATCAGGATTTTGCTTTGTTGTCGCTCCACATACAAAATGTTCGCTGCACAAACTTGGGATGATTTTAGGCAGTCAAAGGTTTCATTTTTCGTCCTTCTTGTGGATCAATCCTGCCCATCACCTTCACCTTTCACTATTTTTCAATTTCATTGGGAAGGGAAACAATTTGAACAGAGGTTTGCAGTCACACACATCTGATTCCCTTAGCACATCACAATTACATGTCGAATCTCTTTAAAACTAGAAAAGCATCAGAGCGCAGACCTCCGCCAAGGACTACCCCCATTTTTTATATAAATTGCAATAAAATCAGTCTTCTGGACAGATCCGGATCAGCTTTGAACATGAAAGAGGATCCCATTGTCCATCTGAGTCAAATTTCATGGGGTTGGTCAATAATTAACCCAGATATTGAGAAACAAAATTTTTGGCCCATTTACCACAATGTTAACTAAAATTTCAAAGTGATCCAGAATCCAGGATTTCTTCCGGATCACCCCCAAAATGAAATCAGTTCTTCCTTTTCACATTTCCAAAAATCCTGAAAATTATCAAAATCGGTCCATAACATATAACAAACAACAAACAGACAAACAAACCAGACAAAACTAAAATATAAGCAATATCAGAACCAGAAACAAAAGTGATATGGTTCAAAAGACTTAGATCAAAGACTTAGATGGTTCAAAAGACAAAAGATCAGCCTTGTCAATAGACGAATCCCACTGGGAAAACAAACATGCCGGTTTGATGCTCACTTTTTTCGGAGGATCCTTCCCAGCATGCATTGCGAGATGACCGGAAGTCTGAAATTCGGGATGCATGTATTTAAAAACTACCGCTTCACGACATCACAAGGTGGAAAGGAGCATTTTGAGCTTTGGAGATGCAGACAGACTAATAAAGAAGAGTTACTCAAACATGTGTGAATGAAACAAAACACAACTCCAGGTTTGTTTTTGTGGAGGTAACAACATTATAAACACAACTTAAAGCTCACAAGAATCAATTTTGCGTAATATAGAACCTTTAAGTGCAAAACTTGATTTCTCTATTACAACAAGCATTCGATTTGATTAGATTGGATTCAATTTCTTGATTTGATCCCCAAAGCATGAAGAGTGTCAGATTAGTGAAGAGTTAAGAGAAAAACTGTAATTTTGGAAGAGTTAAGTTTGAATTTTGCAGAGCGTAGCCAAGTAAAAGTACCATAACTTCAAAATAACATTACTCAAGTACAAATACAAAGTAGTGGCCCAAGAAATGACTCAGGTAAGAGTTAAAAAGTATACAGGGTTTTTGTATTAAACATTTGTGAATGAGACAAAACACAACTCCAGAAAAAGCCACACCAGAGAAAATGGAAATAAAAACGTCTAAATAACACAAACCTGAGTTAATGAGTTACTTTCCATCATTGTATTTTTCCCACCTATGCTGAAAAAAGGAGAATAATGGTTCACACCTCTTTTAAAATACCAGACGCGACTTAATGCGAGCGCTAATCACACGTTCAAATTGCAGCACGTGTCCCATCGGCTTTGTGCTCGATTCTAATAATTTCGGTTTCTCGTTTCTCTGTGCGTGAAGGACAGAGTCAATCCAAGTGTGAAACGTGTTCAGGCAGGATGAAAAGAACAAAAACGTGAGACATTTTGAAAACACGACTCCGAACGACGCATCTGTCTCATACAAATATAAAGATCTGATGAAAAAAAACAAAAAAAACACAGCTAGTTAGTGCGCTTTCTTTAGAAATACCAATAAGTGTGTCTTAAAGGTGCACTATGTAACTTTTCGAGTATGTTCAGCACCTGGTTGTGTCCGTGGAGAAGTGTTACGGAGATTGTTTTCCCTGGAATGTACGGGGTCAGTCTTATCATCAGAAGAGCCTCTAGTCAGAAAATCCATGTTCAGGTAGTTTTACAAATTGTTACAAATGAAATTGTATTTCAAGTTTTAAATATTTTAAAAAGTAAATATTAAAAGTAGTAAATATATTAAACCCTTAAAATACAGCAAAAATGTTTGAGGAAATAATGATTTGGGTGGAAATGGCATCTTAAGTGTAACAGGGTTAATAATTGTCTGATTTTCAGGCAACAACTTGCAAAATGTTCAGTAATTCGAGCTCTACATCCTTCATTTCAATTTTATTTTAAATCTTTTTCTTTTAATGTAGCATTGGTGGGTTTGTAAACCAATAAATCAAGTAATGCTGCCCTTAGCTGGTCATGAGCTCTGGGTAAGTGACCGAAAGGACAAGATCGCGGATACAAGCGCTCGAAATTTGTTTCCTCCGCAGGGTGGTCTGGGTGCTCTCTTAGAGACAGGGTGAGGAGCTCAGTCACACGGGAGGAGCTCGGAGTAGAGCCGCTGCTCCTCCACGTCGAGAGGAGCCAGTTGAGGCTCAGGCATCTGTTCCGGATGCCTCCTGGGCGCCTCCCTCGGGAGGTGTTCTGGGCATGTCCCACCGGGAGGAGACCCCGGGGAAGACCCAGGACACGCTGGAGGGACTATGTCTCTGGGCTGGCCTGGGAACGCCTCGGGGTCCCCCCGGAGGAGCTAGAGGACGTGTCTGGGGTGAAGGAAGTCTGGGAGTCCCTGCTTAGGCTGCTGCCCCCGCGACCCGGCCCCGGATAAGCAGAAGAAAATGGATGGATGGATGGATAACTAATAAAGACTAAGTTGTGTTTAGCCGTGTATATGACTGAAAGGTTTTCATTCTGCACTCTTCTCTCTAATTTAATGTCTCACTCTCTCGCTCTTTTTAATTTTGTGATGACTGTTTTTGTTTTTTTGATTTGTTTTTATTGTGATTTTAATGTATTTCTTATTGTGGAAAACACTTTGAATTAATTTGTGTACGAATTGTGCTTTACAAATAAACTTGTCTTGCCTAAATATCCAGCTGTTCTACAATCTCTATATTTAAAAAAAAAAATCAAATAAATACACTTATTCATAAAAAAAATATCCCAAAATAAACTGTGTTAATCTTCGTTTCAACTCGATTATATGAGTTTGGAGATCGTTTGACACACAAATCAAAATCGCAATCAAAATTCAGTTAATTGCTCAGCGTTCGGCAAAGCAACAACATCTCCATGGCGACAGTTACACAGTGAACCTTTCAGGAAGTTTGGCTCATAAATAATGAAAGATTATGCAACAGTTTGGGGTTTAATCGCAATCAAATCGAAATTTCAGTTAACGCCATTAGCAAATCACGAAGGCTGCAATTTTTGAAGTGCTGTAACTTCCTCCACAACCAACAAAACCTCCCGTTCTTCTGCGTAAAAGCTGCTAATCCTGTAGTTTACATCTGCGCAAACATGTTCTGAAATGTGATTCGTGTTTTAGTTTGTCAGTTCAGATTTAAATTCTTCTGGACGAGTTTAAAAGGACCTGTGTTGTGATATTTTCTGATCTAGTTTCCTCATCACAAACGGACCTGGAGTTGAGTTTTGTTTCATTCACACAATAACACACAAACTTAGCAGATTTACGCTGAGTTCTTCTTTCAAAAAAACACTTTGCTCCACCTCATGAGATCATATGGTGATACAGGAAATGCTCCGTTGTGTTTTTAAACTCCGTACACCTTCAATAAAATCATTACAACGATTTCAGGCCTGAAAACTACAGCTTCATGACATCACAAAGTGGAACAGAGCATTTTGAGCTTTGGAAATGTAGACAGATTAATAACAAAGGATTACTCAACCATGTGTGAATGAAACAAAACACAAATCCAGGTCTGTTTTTGACTTAAAGCTCAATTTAGAGAGTCACTTTGAGCTTAATCCTTTAATTAAAACGAATCAAGTTCCACACACAGACACAAAACAAGATAATAATTCAAACTGACATGAGTTCATTTTTCATCCAGACTTGTCACTATTCATTTTGTATTTGCATAAATGCTGCCTCAATTTATCAAGATAATCAATTAATCATTAAGGGACGGGACGAGACGCAATTTCCGTGAGACGAGATGAGATTTTTACATAATTTCTAATACATAAATTTCACGATTCAGTTTCCAATTTTGGCCTCGCAATTTTTTATTCATTTGATTTCATATAGTTTTGTTTCCATTTTAGTGCTGCTGTTTCGATTAAGAGATGTAACTCAGCAACACTTGACCCTTTTTTTGTCCAATCCAAATGTAAACACTTGGGAAAAAAAATCTCACGAGATCATTTTTGTCATGTGCGCACGATCTTGTGGCAGTTTTGTCTCACGAGAGAGATTTTATAGTACGAGATCTTGTGTAGAGCTGGGTGTCATTCAGAAGTTGCCGATACGATACATACCTCAATACATACATATCCATATGATTCTAAACGATGTATTTCAAATCAATTCAATACAGTTCAATAAAAAATAAAGGCTAAATCGTGGCTTTGATACTAAAAGTCTTTGTTAAACCACTTCTTGTGCAAAGTTCATATGAAACACAAATATTTTAATCATCAAAACAGTGAAAATGTGAAATGTGTCGCATAAACAAGTTCCAAAAAAGCAACAAAACTGTAGCTGTAACAAAATAATTTAGTAAAATATACCAAAAAATACTCTTGGTGATATATCAGTACAGCACCTCACGATATCAGTACTCATCACATTAAACAATACGATATGTTGATGTTTCAATATTTTTGCACACTTCTAATCTTGTGGTACGAAATCTTCCAGTAGGAGATTTTGCTGTGTGAGGTTTTGTGATACAAGATCTTGTGGTTTGAGATGTTGCAGTACGACATCTTGCGGTACAATATGTTGTAGTACGAGATTTTGCGATACAAGATTTTGTGGTATGAGATTTTGCTGTGTGAGGTTTTGTGTTACAAGATTTTGTGGTACGAGATCTTGTCCATCCCTATTAATCATAATAATTTGATGTAAACCCTGTCATTACTATTTCATTATACTGCAACTATTTTATTTTATAGCTCCAGCTTTATTGACTGTTTATAAAATTACCAACCAATTTTTTGTGTATTTTTATTTATGTATTTTTATTTTTTATTTTTGTCTGTGTGTTTCATTTTATTTCACTACATCCATCATTTTTTATTATATATATATTTATTTATTTGTTTTTTCTATGGGGGACGGTTGGTTTCTACAGTATATTATGTTGAAATAATAACGAGCTATAACGCTTTTTGTGAAATCTTTATAAATAAAATGTAAAAAAATAAAAATAAAATAAATCTAACAATCTCGCCCTTCCTGGTTTAACCTCCTGCTCTTGACTGTGTGTTTTGTGATAAGAAACAGCTCCTTTTATTGTATAAGATAAAAGATAAGAAGTGTGTTTACCGGTGAGGCGAGGGGTGACGTAGCTGCAGGCACCAAACACGACATGAGGTTTGGAATGTGGTCGTGCAGAAGCCTCATGACTTTCAATGCATCATTTACTGTCAACAGCACATCTTAAGAACACGCTGACGAATACCTGAGAGGCTTATCACCTCAAACAGCCAATAGGAAGGCTCTAGTCTACGTGACTGGTGTTCCCTTTAGAAGATTTTTGAATAATCTCTTGCTTTTAGCCATGTTATGATACTGTTCCCTTCTCAGAAACAGACCTGGGGTTGTGTTTTATGTTTTGTTTCATTCATTCATGCAAATGAGCCATGTGGTTTTAAATTTTGTTTCTATAGGCGAGTTTCATTGTTGACAAAAGCGCGCGTTGCATGCTGGGAATTATTTGGTCAATAAGTTCAAATATTTGTGCAGAGAAACGCAAATCTATTACAGAAATCTTTTTTAATTGATGAACTCTTTCTTTTACAAAATATTATAATATTATGAACAACCTAAAACTTGAAACCTGAAAAATGTAATTTCAACACAATGTTTTAACATTAACTTGTTTGCAAATAGGAATAAGTCAATTTTTCTTGGAAAATCCTGCACTCGGCTCCACTTTCCTCATTTTTGACATTTTGTTGATGAGGGAGTCACGGTCAACAGTCAAAACGATCGTCGTTTAAGAGCGTTTGGAAAGAGACAAGTCTTCATTTGTGCTGCTGCTCTGGTGGGAGGGGCCACGTACAGAGACACTGGAGACGCTGATATGATAAACACCACAGAAAATTAACAAGATTTTAAGAGAAAATATAATTAAATTATTTTAGTAGAAAATCAGCCGAGGCCCAGATTAAAGGTCTTGGAGGGCCGGATCTGGCCCCCGGGCCTTATGTTTGACACCTGTAACATAAAGGGTATTGATCCCGGTTATTTATCCACTCTAATATCAGAGAACCGAAGACGATTTGACCAGAAATTGGTCATAAGCATCGATGGACGCCAAATCACCAATCATCATCATTTCTGGTCAGAATCTCCAACTACCTGGACAAATATTCACTTGGGCGATATCCACAATGACTTGGTGGAAACTCCTGGGCCATTCACAGCAG